CGGGCAGCGCGCCTCTCCCTGCCCTATATACCCCCGGCGGCCGGCCGGTTTGCCTGGGTTTCTCTTTTTTGGGAGCGTGGGGGCTGTTATTTCTCAGAACTAGAGGATTTTTATTTTATTTTATCTTTAACCACAGATCCTCCTCTGGAGGTTCTATTGTGCCCGCTGCTCTTCCACGCTAAAATTTCAGGCGCCTTGAAATGAAATCCGGAAACCCTTCTTGACAGCTCAGATCTGAGCGTAGAACGGCCCAAATGCTTTCCGTGTTTTTCTGATGATGGCTGCTGCCTGTGGGTGCCGAAGAAGCGTGTGACTAAGCGCCCTGGGGGTTAGCTACCACATTCGGCAACTGCTGTAAACGCCGTGAAAATTCTTAGTGTAACATTGCAATTTTGCTGTGGGGACGTGTGTAGCAGATATGGCCATTAGTTTTAACCTTAGTAGCCTTGCTACTATGTTAAGCCGTGCGGGAGGATCCCCTTTTCCATTGATTTTACAAGAGATTTTAATGGAATGCAATAGCATATTCACTAGAACATTGAAGAACAGTAAGATGAATATTTTTTTTTCTCTGAAAGAGAGGTTTATTTGTGCTCACTAACTACTTAGAAGACAAAAGCTTGGGCTCCCAGTTAAAAAAAAAAAAAAAAAAAAAGGAGGGGGATCTTTTGCTGAGTCTGTGTAAACATTATGTTAGAAGTGTATCTTTTGTTACACACTTAAGGCCTTGACTCCTTTGCAACACTCTTATAATTTAAAATCCCCTTTTTTGCTGGTCCAACACAGCAACCAATTCATGTTTTTAGCTATGTACCTTTCTTCCTCCTAGTTTCCATTTTGAATACTACCTTTTCACTGCGTGCTCCAGCTCTTTTCTAAATACATCAGTGGGTTTAGATGTGCCATTTCCAGCTCCCTCCTCCCCAGGCTGTTCCTCAAAGAACAGAGGTTAAGTTTTAATACAGCTCAGTCCTGAGCATTTAACCACTCTGCCTTTTCTTGGTTCCTTGCTTCACATTTTATTTAGGGCCATGCATGTGTTTTGCAACTCCTTTGTTGCAATTTCCATGCTGAGTCTAAAGATTTTATACCATTTCATGTAGGGTCGTGCTGACTGGCTTCCTCATTTTTTTTAAAATCCCCTTTTTATAGTTTGGTTTTGCATTCCTCTCATTTTCATGACTTTTCCCCATAGGTTAATCCATAGGTAATTCAGTTACCCTTGCAGTTACTTACAACTTTTCCATGTTACTGACAAAATTTCTTTTAAAGTTCTGTATCACTACGTCTTTAGGAGTTCTGACTACTCCTGATCATTTATTATATGGAAAAATATCTGAGCTGTGGAAAACCTAAGTACTGCAGCCTGGGGTGAGACTGCTTTCCCACTTGTCCTTGATGCATCCAGTATTTCGTGACTGGAGAACATCACAGGGCCAGTACGGTGCTGTCCCCGACTGCCCTCCCAGCCTCTGGGAATTGATGGTTTAGTGTAGGGCTGAGGCAGATGTGGAGCCTTTGTATGTTTTAGTCCTTAAATGTTTTCCAGTGAACGCACTAATCAGTTTTTTTGACCTCATAAATTTGTATCAACAACAACATCCAAAGAGGTCTGTAAATTCCATGTGTGCAGAACTACCTGACTTGGTTAACTTGAACCTGCTGCTTGCGAGTTTTGTCTGATCCCGTCCAGGTCTTCTATTAGAAGAGAGGTGCACAGTCACTCCCTCGTCATCTCATGCAGGGTGCTCCAGATTTCGTAGATCTCTCTCTTCTCTGCCTTTCACTCCTGTTGTCCTTTTTCTAGGTTGCAGGTCTTGTCTTTTGTGTGGCAGCTGTTCCACCTCTTTGATCAGCCCTGACATTTTCCTCGGTATTCTTGTTGAGTGGAGAGAACTCAGAGATACTGAATAATTATTTCTGTTCCACTGGAGGCTTTTTGAAATGGCGTAAAGTGTTCATTGTTGTCCGTGACCCCTGCGTGGCTGCTGTAAAGCTGCAGGAAGGGCAGGGAGGTGTTTGCCCTCACACACCTCACTCTGCTTGTCTTCAGACTTCCTGCCTGGGTGCTTCCTGCTGTCACTGGGATAATTTTTGCCCTTCAGACAATAAAGCTCTATCTGTATATGGGAGCCTGGGAGTGCTTCCAAATTCCCAGGTCTGGCTGTGCCCTCTGGCTACACCCCGTCCTATACTGTGATGAGATCCAGCAGGCATCAGCACAAGTGCTCTCTTTGCTCTCTCATTTCTGTGGGAGGTAAACCCTGGGCATATAGCCCGTACAGGAGCTGTAGGGGCTGCTGTAGTATGCACCACAAGTAAGTGCTCACTGACCTAAGTGGTAAAGAGAAGGATTACATTTCTGTGCACCACCTAGGAGGAGACCCTCGACCTTGAGGGCAAAGGCATTTGATAAGGCTTCCATTTTTGGCCCACAATAACAGGATCTCTTGACAAAAGATACTACAGCAGAACCGAGGAGCAGGGAAGCCTGTAGGAAACATGGGCCTGTAGATACAAGAAGTCTAATAAATAAATCAATAGCATTAAATAAAAGCTGATTTAGAAAAAGAATAAATAGAGACCTGGGATTCCATCTGTGAAAAAAGCAGACCGCTTGCTTGAAGGGAGCCATGTTAATGTGATGGCCAAAGCATCAGAAAGTAAATGTTCTGCTAACTTCATTTGCAATACTCTACAGCAAGTTAAAAAATCGCATTTGGGTGAGTGATGTTAGTTATGCAGTTTTACATCTGCTTTGTCTGTGTTGTGTCTTTTCAGATACAATATTCTCAAAAACTTTAAAGCTTTAAACCTTTGTTATATATCAGTAACATTTAAATCCAGCTTAATAAAATAAATTAGCGTGAGTAAGTTCTTGTAGAGATGGGTCTTAAATGTAATCCTAAACTCGAGGTGTCCCAGGATCCTGGGACAGTTCATATCTAGGTCTGGAGCAGGCATAATTTCTTCCACAGTTATTTTTCAGTGGCTATGAAATAAGTCTGCATGTTGTCTTTAATTGTCTTGCTAGTAGAGGAAGAAGCACCTAAAAGAAATGGCTTTAATGTGTATTTGCTATGAAAAATGTTTATTTGCTGTAACTCTGACTCCAAAAAAGTGTTTTATTATACAAAGTTTAATGTTTATTTACATTCACATGAAGATGCCTTAGTTCACAAATGGGCTTCTTGGTTTTGTTTTAGAGACAATGGATTTTGTTCTCTGCTGCATTTCTGGGCTGACAAACCTCTCTGTTTATAGCACAGGTAGAGCACAAACATGGTCAAGCATAAACTTCCTCATGCTTCCTTGTCTACGCATCTTGGCCTTGGCCTGAAAGGTCACTTCTGCAAGCATGAGGGGAGCACAGCCTCACCCAGTCATGCTCTTGAGGCTGTCAACGAGGGAAGCACATTAATTCATTAGGGAAGAGCTCTGGTGTTTGTGTTTACTCCCTTCACTGACAGACAGGCTTTAGCAGTTTTGATGACCGAGTGCTATTCTTAGCATTCTTTGGCTTTTCTTCACTTCCTAATCAAATTCCTTTCTTTCTTCATTAGCAGGATTCATAGATGTTTTATTTCATATTCCCTAGTGCTGGGCAGTTGGCCAAATGCTGCATTCCCTCTCTATCAGGCACAGACACACCATCCCCACTGGGTGGTTTTCGCAGTGGCTGCTTGCTCTTATGCTGCTTTTTCCGCTCCACGGCAGTACGCAAGGCCTGAAGAATCAAATCTTTGTTGTTCTGGACGTTGTAGTAACTTAGGTTCACCAGTTTGTCAAAATCTTCCTCTGAATAACTCAGATTGTTTATGTAATATGGACCACGGGTATTTGCAACGTCAACATCACCCTCTGCCATCTCTGAGGGACTACGTTTCACACCTAAGGGACAAACAATAACTCAGTTAATTAGCAAAAAGCAATTAGGGTCTGGGTGTTTCTCTGGCATGCACACACCAAAAATTTTCCCTCCGTAGGCATTTTATTGCTGGGCTATTTGGTTGGCAGCAGGGGGGGGGAGAAACTGGTGCTGGTGAAGGGAGTAGAGGTTGTCTTGGGTGCTCTTGGAAATGCCAAAACGAGTACCTCCTCTTCTGAGCACAGGAGGGTGCCTTCAGAAATAGGCTGCTGAAAATCCATGTATTTCAGTGATTCAAGCTTTCCTAAAGCACACCTGCCTTCTCAGTGACCTGAAAGACATTCTTTCACCTGGCACAACCTAGCATGTACCCTAGCACAATCTGCTACCTCACAATCTGCTCTTGGTTCCTACTGGGAAGAATTATCAAAAAATATAGAAAACAGACCTAAAGTAGTAAATTCTATTATCTGAACTGAAAGACTTCACAGAGCCGTATCCTGGAAGCAGATGGCACAAATATTTATTGTCATTTCCTTGAGCTACCTACTACTATAAAAACCTACAGAATTTATGTAACCTCAACAGTGAGAGTGGACCTGATATTCCCTGAATGACTAAGATTTGGCAGGGATGCTGGAAGAACTTTTCATGCCCGTTTCATCATCCCAGGATAATCAACATATGCATCACAGATCCAGGCAAAATAATTAGGCAGGTAGTCCCACAAGCATGAGTTAGGAATTTTATCATCTGGAGAAGAAGTAATTGAGACTTTTGGCACCAAGAGAGGTAGTATGGAGTCATGGGATGTGGTACCAGGACTTAGAAACCATCTGTTTTGAAGTGACCGGCAATGTTACTATTGAAACTCTTCTTAAATTTCAAAGTAGGACTCACTGAAGTGAACAGGAGCTGTCAGAATGTCTCAGTGTTATATTTTCATCACTTTGCTACTTCACACTTTTGTTTTCAAGGCTATCTGCTTAACTGTAAGCCTGGAAATTATTTTAAACAATGAAATCCTTGGATTCCCCAGGGCATTCTCTAACAGGAAAGGATGACAAGTGTGAGAGGAAATAACCACGCTAACTTCTGCCACTGCAGAGAAACAGAACTTCTTAGCATTCTTTGGCTTTTCTTCACTTCCTAAAACTTCTCATCAGTAAACTCTACAGCCTACCTATGAAAAGCCCCAAAAGAATCTGAAGAGGGGCATATGTGCCAAAGGCTGATCCCACCTGCAGCTCTACCACCCAGGAAAATGTACATATTTTAGGCTTCTTGCTGTGGTTCAGATCTAAGCAAAGGGAGTCTGAATCTGTGTTTACAGGATGATCTGAAGAACAGATATTGCATGGTAAAAGAGAGAAAGAAGACAGCCACTGCCTCCATTAATGTGAGGGGTAGCTACAAATTTACCAGGTGCTTTGTAGTCCCTGAAGGTGTCATTTACTAGAGGGAAAAATATCACAAGAGGCGTTTCTGGGCTCTCCTTGTCACCAACAATGTAGCATTCCTTCAGATGTGGAGTTTCTTGATCATCCGGCACCTTTGTAGGGAAAGGGATTCCCTGCTTTGCAAAGTATTTAGAGGCTTCTTTGAGGGGCTGGTCACCGCAATAGGAAAACAAAACAACAGAAAACATCAGAACATGTGGGAAGCACTTTGACTGAATTTGACCCAAACCCAATTTCACTGGGAATGTTTGCGGGGTAGGGGCCAAGTTCTGACAGGTTATGTCATGTACCCAACCGAGGTGTTGTAGACTGTATATGGAGCCAAGATCTGGAAGGCCAGAGTTAAATGGGATGGATCCGGGGCCACCTGCCTGTCTTTCTTTGAAAATCCACATCCCACATTTGGCTATTAAACATGCTGCCTTTAGAGGGCTTTTTATTTCAAATATATTTAAAGTTCCTAAATACAAACTGTGCTTGGATTTATTTGCATATCTGGCCTTCTGCATCAAACCTCTCTATTGTTATGACTGTACTGTCTTGAATATACATTTCCTCATGCATAAGAATATGTCTGACTGCATTGAGAAGTCTTAGACAATTTTTACATACGTTTAGCTTCATTCATGCAAAATCTGTCTGCCTTCAAATCAGATAAAACACATTTACAAGTAAAAATGGGCAAATTAAGTTTACTAAATGGTTATCTACTGATAACACTTGTACTGTTCAATAAAGATATGCGACCCTGGTAAACTGTTAGCTTATTTACACTTCCCAGATACTGGGAAAAAAAAATTTCTGTGCGTAGAGGATCAGCCATTCTGGGAACTCAGTGATGAAACAGAGGTATCAGTAAAGAAGGATGCACGAGGCTCACCCCTGTCTGGGAACCTGAACTGTAGTTGAAATGCAAAATGACATCCACTTTCCTTTCCGGCCTCATAAGGGGTGGGTAACTGGTAGCAAAGGCAAATGCTGTATCGATGAGGATGAGGTAGTCTGTTGCTGCTGTCAAGTGGTTGGGCTGAGAGTCAAGCTCGCAGTCTAGAAAAGAAGCAATTTTTTTTTTTTTCAGGGGTGGTACTCAATAGAAGAGATGTGCTGAGAAAAGTCAATTGTTAACAAAAGGAGAATTCAGCTTTTCTTGGGTCTTAGAGCTACCTATATAGCTGATAGCTGCAGTTCAGTCGTTTTTCAGTTCCTCATCTGGCTTCCTCTTTTCACCATTTACTCTGCAATTTCTTTGGCTTTCTCCTAATTAAGAGGGATAAACTTGGGGCTCAGAAGAATAGAGTTAATTCCGGCCCCCAGTTTTGTGTGTGACTCTGATCAGGTCAATTTTTTTTTTTTTTTTAAATGGAAAAAATTTAAATGGCACCTTATTGTCTCAACGTGCTAAGATTAAAGCTGTCTGGTGCCTTGCACGCTACAAGAACAGGGGGACAGCTACCAAGGGCCGCAGCCGAGGCAGGCAACACCCCTTCTGCAACATGGAAGGCCTGGTACCAGACTGAGCACTAATTCCCACGCTGTGCCACAGCCAGTACTGTTACAAATGTTATATCTTACTTATTAGTAAAATGGTGACATGAAACAGGGCCCCCTCACCCATCCCTTGAGTACTTCCCGGGCAGGATGTGACAGCATGTGATGACACCAGTGCCATGCCACAAGCACGGAGGCTGGCTGGCTGTCACATCAGCAGACATACATGGGTTGATTGATCAGGGTCTTTCTCATCCATCAGTTGCCAATCATCATGAAATTTTTAAGAACTTATTTTTGAAGCCTCTCCTGCTAGCTAGTTTCAGCTTCTGGTAACAAACAGTTTCAAATATTATCAGGGAACAGAATAAAAAGGCAGCCAGCTTGATAATCCTTTAAGCAGTGTTTCTTTTTCACAAGGATGATGTAAAATGTAACTAAAACTATGGTGCTATTACCATACCTTTCCATTTGGAAAACTCGCTCTCTAGGTAGTTGTTGTTCATCTGGAGGCCCTTCAGGAAGTTATGGATTTCTGAAGCCGCTGGACGTGACATGGCAACATCTCGGAAAATGTCTGAAAAGCTGTCAGTGGGACAAACCACCCGAGTATCCAGCTCATTTGGTCTTGCAGGGAATAGGGTTTCATCATCTGCAGAAGAAATTATAACAGTTCTTGTATGTGGTCTCATTGTTGCGGTTAATCTGTGCAATCATAATTTGTTTTAACATGTTTGGCAAAACTTGGACTACCTTCTCTTTTTATCTCCACAAATCTCAGAACTAAGCTTTGAAAAATCCATTTCTTCTTTTCAGTCCACATAATTAATGTTCCTCACTAGCAAATGCAAGGTCTTTGTTTTAACAACCAGAAACTACTCCCTACAAGTGCAAGAAGATAAACCAAACCACCCTTTTTGCTACATTTCCCTTACTTGTCATCTTTTTTTCTCTGTGGTACTTCTGGCTTGTGTGTTTCTCCTTGAAATCCCACCCCGCAGATCTTTTTTAATTTGGTAGCATGTTTTGCAAATCTCATCCTTAGGACTAGTTTGGAATGACTTGCAATAGTACTGAAGTTTGTAACTGTGCTTTGTAGACTCCAGAGAGGCAGGGATGGTGATTGCTTTTGTTTCTGTGAAGCTTTATGCCATATTCCAACTTCCAAAAGAGGAACCGGAAGACTGTGGATTGCTAGTCTACGGGGATATTTTTCTCCAGTTTTACCCTTGTGCTCTGAAAATGGCTCATATGAGGGCCATTCTTTCTTTCTTTTCCTGTGACCCGTGGATTCTTTTCTCACACAACTGGAATTATTGCCATACTGCCATACATAGCATGAATTTCCTCCCGGTTTCCGTGTTGGATTACAGGAAGCCCTGAAGAGGGAATTCCAAAATGGCTTTGAAAAATTCAGTGAGAGAATAACAGCACAGAGGGTGAAAGAAAGAAAGAGAAAGAGGAAAAAAAAGGCAACAAAATAACAAAATGGCATACCAACAACCCACCTATATCAGTAATTTTGTCTCGGGTCCATTTGTGCCAGAAGTCTTCTGAGTGAATGGATAAATACCAAGCATCCATAAGATTCAAGGAAAATACACTGCTCCAGATCCCTGTGGCATAGGATATATTTGATAGAAAGTAAACTGGTAAAGACCTGGAAATGTTTTCATTCACAATGACCTTCAGTATCTTCTGCATTCTCCAGCAAACTTTATTCATTACATTATCTTAGTGCATAAATAAAATGGAATGTCTTTATGAATTGGTATATGAATCCATAATGTATAGAAAGGATCTAATTTATTGGGATATGTGAAGCGTGCTGGTAGTATTTTCAGTATAGCTGCTAACACATTCATTTTTGTTACATGGCAAATAAAGTTTTGTCAAGTACATCTTAATATTTTCCACCTGTCCTCAATGTTTCTTATTCCCCAGGTTCTCAGTGGCTGTAACTCTGAAGGTTTCAGTTATTTCCAGCATAATCCTGTTACAGGTATGCAGTTATCATGCAGAACTGTCAACCACAAAGTGATAGGACAAGAGCAAACAGCCTCAAGTTGCGCCAGAGGAGGTTTAAATTGGATATTAGGAAAAATTTCTTCACCAAAAGGGTTGTCAGGCATTGGAATGGGCTGCCCAGGGAAGTGGTTGAGTCCCCATCCCTGGAGGTATTTAGAAGACGGGTAGACGAGGTGCTTAGGAACATGGGTTACTGGTGGGATGGCAGGGTTAGGTTAACGGTTGGACTTTATGATCTTAAAGGTCTTTTCCAACCTAAACGATTCTATGATTCTATGATGCACTAATATCCCTTAGAATGAGGAAGCTGACGTAAAAGTTTTCAAAATAGAAAGTCTAAAGGCATGAGTCTTCTGATATGTCTTCTGATTTTTGCGGGTTTAAGGCATATCTGGGTTACATTTTCAAGTTCCTCTAGTAACAGATGTAGCAAACTGGATGGCAGTCCAGACTGCCACCTACCTGCAGCCATCTTTCAGGCTGAGAAAACACCCTTACCTGCTATGATTAGATGTGCTGGGTGCGGAAAGGTGCTTTCCTGAACCCTCCAAACTGCAGAACTAAACTTGGCGCTCCGGGGAGGAACTGAGTGATGGATGGAAGAGGCTACACCTGAGCAACCTGGCAATCTCCTGACCCAGCAATGCTAGCCTGCAGTCAGAGGGATGGGCTCGGCCATGCAGAAAGAGCTGCAGGATCTATGCAGTCAATCCCTGCTCTGTTCAGGGGCTGGGGTGCAAACGAATTTGCTGAAAACCTTTCAAATAACTGTGTCACCGCAGTAAGCAACACTGCCTGAATGAGGGGACTCTGGGTCATCGGCAGGAAAGAGGGACATAAATGTCCCAGCATCGCTCTAGAGAAGGGAAGAAGAAAGTGTGAAGGTGGGAGGTGTAGGAAGGGGTCTGGTGACCTCATGGCATTTCTGACCACAAAAGAGGAGACCTGGGTACCTTTCTGACATCTTCCTTACACCTCACCACTAGCTGTAGTGAAATCTCCACATGGGCAAATAGTCTTAACTTCTCAAAAACTCCCTGAAACTTCCTTTATGCAATTGGTGGAAGTAGGAAGAAGAATGAAGCAAGAGATTGCTTTTGCAAAGGGAAAAAAAAAAAAAGATTTCCTTACTGCTTTTGCTGTTCTTATGCAAGAGGGAAAAAAGGTAAATATGATGACCTATTTGCAGTCTGAAATGGAAGTGTTATCCTGGAGGATTAATCAGGGTTAGATGGGGCAGGAATATTGTAGATAAAAGGCTGTATTTTAGAGATTCAGCCTGCAGAAGAGACTGATGATTTAACTTAGTGGCAATGTTTCACAAATTTTGTTCTTTACAAAGACATATAAGTATTGTGATGGCCTCGTGTCAGTAAGCATAACCACATAAAAAATCAGGTACATCTGTTCAGCTGAATAAAATTGCAGAGAAAATTAAAAAATCCTGCAGATAGTGACTTGCTATCAGTTCTAATATGTTACCATATACTGCTCCTGGCAGATAAAAAACATACTAACTGCTTCATTTCAGAAGAGGGGGTTGCACAGGAGTAGCTTGTGTTATATTACATTACATTTCTATGGAGCAACAAATCACCTTCCAAAAAGCATATTCTGGATTCTGGGATTTTCTTCATCAGGTGACCCATGAAGAACTCACTACCAAAATCTTCTGCACGAATGAAGGCACCATATTTTGGGAATCCTACCTCGTAAGGGGTGAATTCCACCCATTCTGAAAGAAAAAGCACAAGACAGACTGGTCACAACAGCAGAGGCACAAATTAGTTGAATAAAACATATGATATTGGCCAGGCTAGGGCAGACTCATTTCTAGCTAACACGCTTTGCAGACAGACATTTATTCACTGTACATTTCACAGTGTTGAATGTGAAGAGTCAATTGTCCTCTTACACCTAAATTTCTCTACAAACTCTAGATTTCTGAGGTAATTTAGCAGGTCATTTCATGATAATGTCCTCCATCATCCTGCTTTTGGTCCTGAATACAGCCAAATATACTAAGACATTCAAAAAATTAACTATTAAAATTCTACTTTTAGGTAGATTGGTCCTTTAGAAGATTTGTGCATTGAACTGATTTCTTTACCTAGTCCTAAATTGACCCCTATTGGGATTAAACATTAAGTGCAATTCTGGAGTATTATTACCTCTAAAATCCTGGTCGCTGATCTTATCCTTCACATTGAGAGAGAGGTAGATGGGCAGGGGATTCTGACCCTGATTTAGTGCCTGCTGCTGATCTGTGAGCTTATGGAAGTCCTCCTGTTTTGAAGAAGGACAGTAGCTGAGGACAGTTAGGTGACACAAAGAGCCTCCCACTTCATCGAAGCCTGGGCTCTGGCAACACAGCACACACCCAACTCCGACTAGGATGTTTTCCACCCGTTTAGTTCAGAGAGGTGCCATCATCCCGATCCCTGACCCTCCCCAGCCCACAAATAGTCCTAAGTTAAGTTCATACGCTGAAAAATTCTGAAAATTCAGTGGTAGAAGGAAAATGTTGTTACATTATTTATTTCAAGAAAATGTCTGGAAATATTTGAAAAGCACTCTTGGCATGAAACATTTCATTCAGAAAGAGTAAGTCCTGCCCTGACTGCCCAGAAAAACATCTTTGCCTCAGACCTGTTAATATAATAGCCTCAGACGAAGTTAATATTTGGAGAGCCTTGACCCTTAAGGATTCTGCTGCGGAGCATCTTGCGTAGTCAGCCAGGGTGGAAAGGGCAGGAGAATTTGGGAGCTGTGCCGAGGCTTGAGAGGGTGCTGAGTTCAGATCCTCCTCGAAGGAGAGCTGCAGGTGCTCCCCCTTGCTGGAGCAGCCTTTGGAGGGATGGCTGTGCCACTGGCCTTCCCTTGGTGGTGCTGCTCCGGGGGACAGGGCTGTGGCACCGCAGGGACACTCGCAGCTCCCTCTGAGCCACCCCTGGGGAGTCTCTCGCGTTGTGCTGTGCTCAGGCAGTAGCAATTTGGATGTATGGGGACTTTCTTGTGTTACAGGGGGAATGTTTTCTCCTCCTTAAGTATGAATGGCCCCGTTGGGAAGGAAATATTTATGAATACTAAAATAGAGCCTGAACATTGCCTTCTGGTGGAAATGTTTACAGGGTGATGTAATCCCATTAACAACTCAGAGGTACTGTCTTTGGGTCTGTGTTTGTGATTTTTCTTTGCCTTGTCACACTGTGCAGTGCTTTTAAAAGAGCAGCAGGATGTTCGTTTAAATATTTACATGTGAATTCATTTTAAAGTTGTCCCGTTCTTTCTTTTTATCCCCACCCTTTCTGTACCAGGTGTGATGTTAAGGTCTGCGTAATACAGCCAACAAACACAAAGAATCATACCACCACAGCACATGCTTTAGGCATCTATCCAAAAAATCAATCAAACAAGCAAGCAAGCAAAACCCCCCTTTTCCGTAAGGGTTGTCCAACACTGGCATATGTTGCCCAGAGAAGTTGTGGAGCCTTCACCTGTGGAGATACTCAAAAGCCCATGGTTCAGGACAGCCAGCTCTAGCTGACCCTGCTTGAGCTGTTGGACATGATGACCTCCAGAGGTCCCTTCCAATCTCAACCATTTTTTGATTTACTGTCTGCCCTCACCGCTATATTCACTAAATATGCAAATCTGAAGAGAAGTGTGCTGCTATTGTACCTTTTCATGTAACATGGTTTCAATGATGAGTCCCCATAGATCCGTGAAACATATCTGATGTCCTTCCTGTTCCCTCTGGCACAACTCTTTTAAATAGTATTTCAGACGGTTGGGGGCAAAACAAGTAAAGAACTTATTTTTGAGCACATGCTTTCGGGTATCACTGAGTGTTTCCTTAAGATCCTTCTGGGACCAGTCAGGATCTCTGTACAAGTTTGACATGGTCCTAAAAAAAAAAAAAAAAAAGAAACAGAAGGACAAATGTAAGTTCTGAAGCAGAGCTTTGGGAAGTTTTCATGTTATCATGCCTTGATTTACGTGAAAAGCACATGCGCATGTGGTATCATCCACATGTTTAATTGGTACTGAATTAATTCCAAATGCTGGCAAATACCCAGCAAAGGGAACAAGAAAAAGCCACAGCAGAAAAAGTAAGTCCTTTCTGGATAGTAAAGATGATACAACTCTTCAGATCACTTCTTGACATCACATATAGAAAATGGCTATGAAGACTTTGCTTATCTTGGTCTTACCATGTTGTGCCAGATAAACCAGTGATGTACGAGACACAGTCCAAGACATTCAGTTCCTGCACACTGAGAAGGTGAGCGTACATGGCTGTCAGAGCTCTGGTTCCACCACCCGTTGTCATGATTGCCACCACAGGTACCTGTTCAATCCCCAAATACATGCAGTTAGTTACATGGTCTGAGAAGGGAGAGAGGCGTTACTGATTAGAAAGGAGAAAGTTACAGCACTGATAAAGTAATAAAGATGCTGCATGCCACCAGTCTGCAAGGAGGAGAAAAACCTGACTTATTAATGGAGCATAGAAGGAGTAAGAAATATTTCATGTTTCCTCTGCCAAGCAGCTGGGCATTAGGACATGAAATCCATCATCTCAAACATCACATTTTCAGTGCTCTATGGAAAAATCAGTAACGCAGACCAGCAAAAAACTAGAGGTAATGGTACCTCCTGCCATCTGAACCAGATTTTTATCAGATGCAGTAGACTGGAAAACATAGGTGCTGCCTCACAGTTTACATGTGAGTAGTGATAACTTCTGTGTTGCTGAAGTTTGCTAAAGCCAATTTCTACTGTTGTGTAGTTATTTCACAGGCCATACTAGATGAATCATGACTGATGGGTTTAAGAGCACAGACCAGTTCAGATCCCCTGAGGCCGGAGACTGGTGACACCATCCCCTTTTACAGTTGCTGGAGGGGAAGAGGAACCCTAATCACTCCACCTGCCATGTA